ATTAATGTGTTATTAAAGATTTTTAACTGACAAATTTTTAGTTAAGTTTTGTATAAGTGATTGACGGAAAGAGTTTTACTTAAGTTATAAAATTTATATGTAGTAAATGTTTATAAAAAATCAATAAATTTAGTTTAATTCAAAATAATTTGAAATAATTTGAAATATTTTAAAATATCCTAGTAAATTTTGTTATAAAAAATTTCAGTTTATTACGTTTTTTTATTTAGAATATTTTGATATATTTCAAATTGGTAAACTCAAAATATTTCGAATTGTTTCGAATTATTTTGAAATATTTCAAATCGGTTTGAAATATATTGCATAATATTTTGCAATATTTTTGCATAATATTCTGTAATTGATTATTGCACAATATTGCACATCAATCGTAATTCTTGCACAATATTACAGGCTATAATATCTTACATAAGATTATGTTTATATATTTTGCTGATATAGCTTGGTATAGCTCTTCGATATAAATAAAATTCTTAACTGGTAAGGCAGATCGCTTTTGAACACTCTTCGAGACAGCCAAGAGATGTCAGATCTGTAGCTTAGATAGTTGATTACATATATTTATATATATACTTTGATCTAATAAAGATACTGGCAATGCTATCGATAAGTTCAAAAAAATATATATATATTCTTGTTATTTATTAGACTATACCAAAGTATACTTAGAATAAGATAACTAAAACTATTTTTATTCAAAACTGGTTTATTATATTAGAATTAAATAAATCTTTATTACTGACTATTAGGTTTTAATAAGAATAAGTTTATAATAGAAAAAGATTCAAGTTTAACACTTGACTTATTTGTTTTGCAGTATGTTTGGATTTATTTATCATTAATAAGTTTTAGTTTATAGATTATATACTGTATATATTGTATTAATAAGTTTGGGTTTATAAATAAAAAAATATTACTTTTATTCTGCTTTACATGTATCTACCTATTTTTTTACATATATGAGATTAATTAATTCTTTGGTATATGAATGAATTTATAAGCTTTTTTCATGAAGTTTTTTCGTTTCTTAGTATATCATATATATATTTCTTCCTATAACCTTCTGCGGTTTAATTAAATGTTTACTAATAGGCGTTATATTGTTCTAATCCTACGTAGCCTTAACTGTAATACGGGTTTCTTGGTTTTCATTTTACACGTAACTTTTTTACTTAGAAAATGTTTGTTTTGACATCTGATCTTAAATTTTGATTGGTCAAAATTACCGGGAATGATCAATTTTTGTGGAAACGCTACAAAATCGTCTTGTGTTAATATAACATTTCACAAATAAAATCAAAACAAAATGGTCGTTTTTTCAAAATTTGCTTATTTCTCAAAATTTCGCATAATAAGCCACTTTTTACACTAACAAAAAAATCACTTGATCAATTTTACTATATGCCCAGCTAATGTTTAACTTCATCGTAAGCACTAAACCTAACTTAAACGAACTTAAAGATTTTTTTGTGCGATATTGTTATATGATAGTGAAATTTTTTGTAGTGACGCAAGAGAAGATTTCTCCTGCAGCACTAGTTACATATACTTATTAGTTTATATATAAAGATAATCGATTTAAAAAAACTCGCGACGTGAATTTTTTTGTTTTTTTTTTGTTTTTTTTTAGACATAACAATAAGGTAGTTTATTGTGTATTTTGTATTTTTTCATTATATTTCATTATGATTATATTAAACGCCGGCTTGTAAAAGAACCATATACAAACAAAACCCAAAGTTATGTTATCGGCTTTGGGTTTTGAATAGGGAAATCTTATTAGTCGCCGAGATGGGTCTAATAATTTTTTCCTGTCGGACACCACTTTTATTTGGTTCTTTTACTTATGAAACATAAATATATATTTGTTGATAGTTATTTTTAAGACTATTACTAATATTTCCGTTTATTTATATATTTGTCATAAGGTTAAACATGGTTGTCCCTCTCCTAATCCGGCAGATCCATATCAGCTGTTTCGTGCTTTTGACGAGGTAATAAAACATCTGCCAACTCCTATTCAGCTCTAATAGAGCTTCGAAATCGTGCTTTTTATATAGTTAATACTGCAGAGGCTAAAAATTTTTTTGTTGACTTTTATATTTTTTATCCCGATTTTATATCATGATACAAATTAGAAATCGTTTACGATTACAGATTTCTAGGGTATATAGTAATAGTATACTATTACCCTAGAAATCGGTAATCGCAAGTGAGATGGGTAAGTTTAGTAAAGTATTATTTCCTATCGGTTTTTGCGCAGTAAGTTTAATAATAAGTGTGTAAGCAAAAACTAGCAAATTATTGAGTTTAAAATTTACTTTTTTGTAAAACGTGATCATTCGTCATAGGGAATAATTAGGTACGTATGTCGGTTATCATAATCGTAACCGTATCAGTATTATTAATCATAATATTAAACAATCTGTTTTAAATCATCTGCTATTCCTAGCCTCCTCTGCGTTTACGTCCTCTGCACTTTCGTCCGCTGCTGCTTTTTTTCGCTGCTAACCCCTATGACGCATCATCCTAATTTTACCTTTCACAAGAGGTTGTTAACCTTACAACTACAATGTTTCCACCCTCTTCATTGTCTTCGTCAGTGTCATCAGTATTACCACACACTTTTCCGATTTCGTGCCCCGTTTGTGCCATTATCCGTGATCGTCTAATTAAAATCCGTGATGCATTTAAGGAATATAACACAGACGACTCTCTAATATCAAACATACCCGACACTTGAGGAAAAATTAAGCAAGTTAGAAGAAAAATATGAAACTTAAAAAACATTATAATTCATTACAAAATTTGTTTCTTGAAACAAATTGTATATGTAATAATCGTTAAACGGTAAAATAAAGGTGTTTACTTAAGCATCAAATGCAACCAGTATTTTAATTTATAATAATATTTGAACATTAATATAATCATGAATTAATTGCATAGTGATATTGTTACTCATATTATGGGTTTTCAACAATGTTCTAACCGAATATCGCTATAATGGTTGTGTGCCACCTAGTGATAGGAATCGACT